CTGATTCTGCAACACCCTGTTACACATGGAATACAAGACATAGGCATAATTATACTTTAATTATCAATTTAAAGTATCACAGATATAATTTGTAACAGGGTTCGTGCCGAGGTAACCACTTAAAATTCAAGGACTATTCAAGGAGTATACAAGGACCCAAAAATGAATTTTCAAGGAGTATGTTCAGCTTATAACTATGCCAAGGTTTTACACGGTGGTTGCACATGGGCGACTTTCAGATTTTCCAATCTTTCTGACTAGATCTATTTCTGAACCATGCAAGTAATGATCAAAGCAAAAATTCAAGGAGTTTTCAAGGAGTTTCGCTATAATGGTAAAATTCAAGAGCTTTTCAAGTGCCCTTGAAAACATGAATTAAATTCAAGGAGTTTTCAAGGAGATTAAGGAGTAGCATGAACCCTGTTGTAAAATTACTTGATAATAAGTTGTCACATTTTTTATATAGACACTAGTTACAATAACCATTAATGGCTAAACTAGGTATTAAATTAATAGCTAATGGAATGAGTAACAAACCTTATAGACCGTTTTACCTTGGGCTTATTAATGTTTTCCTTTTTCAGACTATATGTCATTCCTTTGAGAATAAGATTGAATAAGATTCATTTGCCGTCTTATGCACAACAAAGAAACAATACTTTAGGGAATGAAATGGGAAAACATGCCCAGTGTAAAGAGGTCAACTGTTAAAGCCTGGTTTCAGTAGTGATGCAAGCCAGTGCAATTCCAAGCTTGTGCATGTTCTCGCTCTGAAAAGAAGCGACACAAGCACAAGAGAATGGTAGAATGGATTTTTCTTGCATTAGCTTGTTCTTATGCTTGGGTAGCTTGCATCACTTGTGAGAACCAGGCTGGCTCTTTCTCAGCTTTCTTAGCTTCCTCATCTCTTTGCTCTTTTACTCCGAGAAGGACTAGCGTCCAGAACATTAGTAAATTTTTATCATCTTTTAACGGTGTAAAATTTACCCTTTTATCATTACTGTTGCCATGAAGACAATAAAACAATAGCAGAGAAAAAAGATTTAGGAGCTAAACAACACCCTGCAATACAAAGAA